CTGCTATGTAGTTTCTCTAACAGATTGAACAACCAATAAGCCCAGATAGGAAATATTCAACATTACACATCAGGTTGCTTAAAAGATCAGGCACTTAACCCCCACTCCCCAAGCAGCAGCAAGTCTCTAAACCTGTAGTCACTTGCAATGCTCCACAACAGCCTCATTTGTTACTTCAGGCTGAGACTACATTTGACAAGTCACTCATCTGACATGACACACACTTGTCTCCTGCTAGTACCTTCATATAAATCTCCATTTGCCAAACTGGAACATTCTCTACAGCTACTTAAATCAACCTGACAGGGTATCCTTTTCCCTGCCCCATTTAAATGTACACTTCCTTGATTTATTTGTCACACATCTTATTTGGAGCTTTTCTATTAGTTAAACAGGCTCCCACAACAGTCTCATTGACACACACTTGTCTCCTGCTAGTACCTTCATATAAATCTCCATTTGCCAAACTGGAACATTCTCTACAGCTACTTAAATCAACCTGACAGGGTATCCTTTTCCCTGCCCCATTTAAATGTACACTTCCTTGATTTATTTGTCACACATCTTATTTGGAGCTTTTCTATTAGTTAAACAGGCTCCCACAACAGTCTCATGTTCATAAGCTTTTGGCACTTCTTGTGTGTAATCCCATTACGTTGTACATACTAAAAAGGAAAACCATTAAGCAGAATCAAGCAAATCTTCAGCCATTACTGTTATCATACTCATTGGTAGGGAGTATAGATAGATGACTTTACAGAAACAAGTGCAATGAGATCATACCAGGACCATCTGAACTCATTAATTCTAACATTTTTTTATGAACTGTGTATAGATTTTTGTCAACACTGAGCCTACTTATATGCTGAACCTCCGAACATACTTTGTTTCAGATTCAACATTTCACCAGGGAACAGCTGATACTCTGGGCAAAAGACCTCATTGTGCCAGTGGCAACATTGAGGAGATTAATAGGAGAATTTATTTAGAGTTTGGGTAGCAAAGTGATTCAAATTACAAGTCAAAATGAGTGAGCCCCTGTTTATATCACATGAAAGGGCTGTGTGGATTTGTGAGTTTGACAAATCCATTTGTGAAGTACTGTCAACAGAAACTAATGTACCATTTACTATGTACTGAGAATAATGTACTGTTACAGATAAGTCTTCAATACTGAACATATCTGCTCATATCTTTAGGCTCAGTGATGCCACCTGTTCCAGCCAGGCTAGAGGGAATAACATTTTCAGTACATTTATATGTTCTGGTAAACTTTCGATAAAATGGTCCTCATGTCTACTGAAAAGTCACTAGTAAAATCCTTGCTAGCTTGGACTAGTGACTTTACTGTTTATTTTTTCACTAGTATTGCATGAAGGAATTGAAGATGTTCAAAAAATTAGATTCAATTTCAAAAACTGAAGTGAATTTTGTCAGTATAGAACCCTTACACATTCCACCTCAAGGGAAGGCAGGCCAGCACCTCCATGGCCTCCATCTACACCATTTCCAAGTTGCAAGTATGATATTAAACGTAAATAGACTGAATTTAGGTATAAAATGGACTCTTACATCTATTAGTTCACAATCATCTTTGGCATACAGGTGTTGCAGGAGATACCAGCGTGCCACTGACACTACAGTTTCTGGAGTCCTTGGCTGATAAACCACTCTCTCCAACATTCGTCGAGTCTCCCTAGAAGCATAATCAAAACATAACCCAAATCAAATGCAACCAACTAGGCTCACATAACATACCCAAGCAAGCAACAATGGCCAGAAATAATGTAAGGGAAGGTCCTTATTTCCATACCACCCAAGAAAGTGAGGGAGTGGAGTTGTACGTTTCTTTGTCTTCTATGCAGCTGCATCTAGAATGCTAAGGAATTCTGCCTCCATTAGTTAGCACTAACACTCAAGTTAGTGCTTTAAGTAGTAAGTAAGCCTAACTAGATTGACATAGCAGATTTTACAAACGCTAAGAGCATGATAAATACCATGCAAACACAAAGAGAAGATGTGAAATTGTAGAAGAGAAGGAAATTGGAAGAGTACTACAAAAGTCTAAAATTCTATTTGGCTGATACTACCTTCCAACACCAACAGTTTATACCTAACAAGACATTTTCAAATGCACAATGTCATTAGAAATCTGGTAAAAACTGGCAATTACATTTAGGGATGTCATAGTCACTCAGCGGTGCTTCATCAGCTTTGGCTCTTGTTCCAAAAATTCTGTCCTTTATAACCAATGTGGTTTTTCAGTACATTGTGATTTGACAGGTTGTTGAGAGGTTATGCATTTCTGTCTGCTATTTGTATGTAAGATTAATTGCTTGTTTCAGGATATTGAAACACCTAAGCAGATCAATTAGATCTTGTGATATACTGTTCACGTAAATTAACTCTCAAATTTTAATTGATTAAATAATGTTTCATCTTAATTTTATTATAATCAACAGCCATCACTTAGGCTACCTTCTTAAAAGCCAACAGAGAAAAGTAAGTCAGTTTGTTACAATTATCTATAAAACAGGTGAATTATTGAACAAAACCACTCCAAAAAACTCCAATTTTTCATAGTTTAAGCAAAAATACTGTAGAAGACAAAATAGACCTAAATCATTAAATTCACAGCATAGGAAGGTTCCAAGTCCCACTCCCTCCAAACTTTCCTCTGCTTCCTCAAAAAACCAAAATGATCACTTGGTTGTTCAGGAAGGGGCATGAACTGTGACTGGGAGCCCAATTCAGAATCAAAATTAATCCCAGCAGTAGATATGGAGGAAGATCCAGCTGCTCCTCACACTACAAGCCCTTCTCCCCTCTCCCTTGAAACTGCCGCACTAGTTCAAGAATTAATTCCTGCTTGCAATTTTCTTTCGGTTCTTGTAGTTAGATCTGGGCATAATGACCACCTGTATTTTTAGACAACGTATTCCACTTTAGAGATCATGCATACCTTGCTCCCATTTTGCGATTATACTGTAGCAGGGCTTGAAGCAGAGCTGCCAGGGGGCAAGAAGACAGTTTCAAAGCTTCAGTTGTTGCCTCTTGAACCAAGGATGGCCAGTGCTCATTTGAGACATCAGCCTATTATAAAAAATGAAAAATACAAGGAAAAAAAGAGGGAAAAAGTAAGAAAAAAATAAAAGAAAATAAAGGATAAAGACAAAAGAAAAAAGTACTTTATTGTAGTGTGTAGTGTGAATCAAGTTTTTTTGCAGGTCTGTAGAGAGCAGGTTTAATTCAAGCTGTTCTGAGTTTTATAAAATATTCAGCAGGTTAGAAAGATACTCGCTTTAGAAAACCCCAAACAGTGGTTAGAAGTGCCTGGAAAACTCATGTTAACTTTTCTAGGACCAGCCTTGCCAGTATTACTTGTGCAAACGATCTTTTTATTTTTCCACACGTTTTAGTAATGCTTCAGAAACTCTTGTCTGCTCTTCACCTTGTGTATCTTTATCCAGTATATAAGACAATTCTAGAATGTCGAATTTATCCCCAGAAGCAACATCATTTTTTACCAGAAGTAAAAACCAACTCCAAGATGGTAATTAACTAATAGAGCAGCTATTGAGCAAAGCCACGTATCTTCTGGCTTAAGAAACACTTTATTATCCCCATCATGTCTGGACAGTACTCCAATTATTCTGCTTGAAGGGGTGAGCAAAGTTGCATTTGGACAGATAACTGGGAGACAAGCAATATTCAAATTTCAGAGCTTTCTTGGACCTGAGTAAGGTTTTGGCCAGGCTTTTGCACATTTCATTAAACCAGTGTAGATTAGAGAGGACAAAAAAATCCACTCATCAGCTGCTCTGCTCATTCAAAAATCAAAGATGAGATAATCAAATTCATAATAATCACATTTTTAAACAGTCTTGTGTATTGTTAGGCAGTCAAGGCCAGCACTTGAAGAAGCAGTACTAATTAGGTACCTTACAACCTGAGAAAGCACTTAGGAGCAACAGGAAACAGGGAGCAGACCACTAGAAAATGAGCAGAAGAATCATGAGAGGAAATATACTGTCCCTTGACATGCTCTGCCTTTTGAAGCATAGGGCTTGTGAGAAGGGAACTTGTTCAGAGCAATTCCCTTCTCCCACAAGGAGCGACAGCAGTGAAAATGACTGTCTTTTCTTATGAAATCTCAGGATACATGGCACTGCTTTGCCTGATTTTGATTACAGCTCTTAGCTGGGTCATCTGTCAAAATACATAAAAATCATTAGCTGAGACCACAGCAGTACCTACATTTTACACCAGGCTTTAAAGCAGTTTTGTACTGCACTTCAAGTCCCTAGATTGACAATGCTTAAAGAGAAGAAACACTTGCCAAGAATTTAAAGTATATTCACTTTGCCCCTCAGCCCAAGTAGAATAATTTTCTTTATAACACAAGGTACATTTCCCTTTTATACTTCAAGGTAAAGAGTCATATCTGGAAGTGACCACACAGCATACAACTACTTGAAACGTGACTGACATCTCCAGGCAGCAGGGCAGAAAAAACACATTTATTGAGACAGTTGTCTGAAAAAAAAGACTTGAAGGGTGCATCTATTTGGATGAAATGGTTATTAGACAAATACACCTTATTGAACAAGTTGTTTTCTTTATGTCCACAGTGGTTTTATGTGATTATTTCACTGCAACCTCTCTTACAAGGAGACATTCTAAGAATACTTCACTGCCTCTTGAAGTCTCATTTTATTCTCTAGCTGTCATTCATAAAATGCAAAGTCATTTAAATAGGAACTTCATTTAAAGACTACAGAAGCTCTACATCCCATCAACTCCTGTGGTTATCCTACCACAGATATACTGGTTATCCTACCATGCAGACTTCCAGTGCGAGCAGAGCTAGCCTGAGCAGACTGGATAACTTCCCGTTCCAGCTGCCCTGCTGTGACGCCAACTGCAGACTCTTTCTGTAACATATCTCTGCTCCAACCATCATTCTCTGAGACTGATAAACTTTCGCCAGCCACTGAAAAAAACACATCCAACAAAATCAGTCATGGAGCCACACAAACACACATCCATTAGGGAATATAACTTAAGTTCAACTATGAGAATACCACATCATACTATTAGTTAAAACACCATCATGCCCCCAGTCCTCATTCCAACAACATACTGCACACTGCCCTGCAAAGCAGATACTATGCTTCACTACAGTAACTTACTTTGGAATTCCCTAGACCACTTGTGGACACCTTTTTGATTAGTTTTCTCAGCCCATCTGAGTAACACCAGGAACATCAAAGACATGGGTTTAGGTGATGGGTGCAGACCTGTGTTACAGCTTCTGACCCAGTAGAGTCATGGTGGAGGAGCCAGATGGGGCAAAGTAACCGGGATGCAAAGTTTCATGCTTCTGTTGCCTGCTCTGCCAGCACAAGATGTCCTCATAAAGAGAAGGAAAAGGATTCCAACATCTCCATCTTTAATTCTGTAGTCATGTCACATTTTTTGAAGCAGACACACAAGTTTGCAAATGCCTGACATGTACATGATATGCATGAAGATGTGTAAGCCACAGTTAGAAACACTCCTTGCTAGATTATCAGCAACCAAAGCCACAGTTAGAAACACTCCTTGCTAGATTATCAGCAAACAAATACAAATGTTTTCATATTAAAAAACAATTTCCTTGCTTTTAGGCAAAGGCCTTCAGACTTCTGTTAGCTAAAGAGTGACTGATGTTAGAAAGAGCAAAAATGATTAACCCTTTCTGGTGCACAGAAGTTATTTATCATTACAAAGAAATACACTAGAAAGTATTCACTAGCACTAGTGAGACCATGCATTCTTAACATCAAGCTGCAGGACTGCTTTGTAAAGTAAGACATCCATTCATGTGCAGAAAAAAAAAGTTTCCCTTGGCCTCAGTTATTTGCAGCTCAAGATATCTAGCATTCAAGATGTGAATGAGAAGAGAACCCTCATGCAATGGCACAATGGCAACTCTGCCAGATCTGCTGTTCTCTATTTCACTGATGAGCCACAGCACAAAATGGCCATATGAAAAGTAGTTCAACAGCACTCCTAAATCCTGAGAACAACCATTGAAACAAAAGCCAAAAACTTAAGGAAAAAAGTTAATGGCCCCTCTTAGTAAAACTGTAAGGCATCACTATGGATACTTCTGAGTAAGACAAAACATTTATCAAACTCTTAGGAAGTCTAGAGTCTGAACACATAAAAGCATAGATCTATTCACTAGGACACAGATGTAGCAGCCAGGCTTTTTTCAGAACTCTACCTAAGCCCTGAAAAATACCTTCTTTAACTGAAGACTGAAAAGGTCTTCCCTCAGAGGTAGCTTATCTGTGGCCAAAACAAATCAGCCCTTCCCACCACTCAAATCACATACACTTTCAGTTCACTTATTCTCTCTGCCTGTAAGCAAGATGATTTGGCTAGGGAAGGGACGCTTGAAGAATGTATACAAACCATAACCGAATTTTCAAAATACTAAAACAGAGGATACAATTGATGTCTTGCATTCCCACCTATTTTGCAAATCTACTCTGAATGAGTTCTGTAGTTCAGAAAGACAAAGTCTCACAAATCAAAGAAAAATGCATCAAAAAAGCACCCTTCCAGAAGCAATACTCCTGTATTTCAAAAGATAAGAGAATCTGCAACCCTAAAACAAGTGAGATAATGATCTCTACATCAGCCTTGCACTGATCTTCATGACTGAAATTAACTTTAGTGAATTTTACCACAAGCGGGATTTTATCAACAGGCAAAGGGAGCTCCATAAATCCTTCACCCACACAATGGACTCTAAAAGTTCACAGATATTTTTTTCTGAACAATGTGCTACTTACATTGGTAAAGGAAGATAATAAAAGCAACTGTTAGACAAGAAATAAATACATATGCTGCATCATCAGAAAGATCTCTTGGCATGTGTGAGACAGACTTCCCAGATTTTCCCACAGAAGCAGCATATGAAGTGAATTATAGCACCTTCATATCAACTATAAATGATCACTCATGATACCATGGAAGGGAGACAGTGAATCCTGTTACAGGGAGTGATTTCTCTTCTCTGCAGAATCAACTTACTTAAAAGAACAGTGACACCTGAAGTCAGGAGAATACAGAGAAAGAGATTTATTCAGGTTTTCAGACCCTGAAGAAGGAATTGTATCTTAGTACATTAGGAAACACAGGTGCCAGGGATTTATCTCAAGTTTTCACTTCTCCTACCTGCACGCCTGCTTGCTGTTACTAACAGTCCTTATTATTGCAACTATTAAACAAAGTCAGCATAATGCTACAACTTTATAACAAACTGAATATAAGCTGGCTTTTTGTGTCACTGCCTGTCAGCAGATAAATAAAAACACGCAGTGAAATAAACGTTCACCCTCTTATAGCTGGTGTGAGTGGCACACCAGTGAGGAAGAGGATACACACTTACTTGCCAGGCTGCAACTGAAGTTGAACTGGTCACGACTGTCTTGTGAAGCTCCTCCAGGATGTTGTCTGGAAGTTCTTTGTGAGACTGCAACAGCTGCTTAAATTGAACTTGCCTCAAAAGCAAAAACAGAGCTGGGTGCTCAGGGCAGCTTTTTAAACTCTAAAACCAAAACAGAATTATCATTCCAAAATGTCATAGACACTTAGATTTTCTATTTTGTCCTTTACAGAAAAACAACATTGAAAGCATTCTTGGGATGCTTACAACATGGCAGTTTCCATCTCCTTTGCACAAAGGAGTGTTCCAGGGATTGACCCACGAAAACAGATAATGTTTTTTCTCTCCTAAAAACACATTTGAAGTCTATCCTAAATTGTATACATATTCTACCCTTACAGGTTTCTGAAAGACAGCTTTCATTTGGTTAGACAATCATTACAAGTTTGGGGCCTATTAACAGAGGCAAAAACCTGTCTTGTGGCTGAAAGTGACTGTGACTATGTTTCAAGCAATTTCAGTTCTCCCAGGTAAGGTGCTTTTTATTCTTGCTGGAAGAGAAACACTTCACTAAACATTTCCTGTTCAATCACGGCAGATACCTAAAGAGTATTTGTTTTGAACAAACACATGCAAAAGAGCAAAGACAGAAAACTAACCATTTGTTGCTTTATCCTTCTCAGATGAAACACGTGTAGCTACTGCAAGCCTCACTGCATGTTATTTTCCCTGCTCATATCACAATACTTCCAAGAATTATAACTCAAATCAAATTTGCTTTAAGAAACAACACTTTTACTTTTCGCCCATTAAAAAAAAAAAAGAAATAAGATACTTGCCTGTGAATATTTAACAAGCTACTGCTTTGCAAAGAATGCAGAGACTTTTTGAAACACAATAGAAGCTGCTAAATTTGCTGCAATTTTCTCATTGATTAAGTGTGGATTCATGTTGCTGTCCTGGTTTTAGCCAGAATGGAATTAATGTTCTCAGTAGCTGGTGTAGTGCAGTGTTTGGATTCAGAGTGATAATACTGTTGATAATACACTGTTGTGGTGAGCAACTGTATTGTGCATCACTGATTTTGTTCTTTTTATTACCCATTAGCATTTTAGCTCATTCTACTCTTCATTATTATTAAACTGTTCTCATCTCAACCTACATATTTTACTTACAAATAGCTCTCCTCCCCATTCCTCCAGGCTGGGGGGAAGAGGGAGGAGGAGGGAGCGTGTGTGGCTGCATGGTTCTTGGCTGCTGGCTGGGGTTAAACCACGACAGCCCTTTTTTGGTGCCCAACATGGGGCAAGAAGGGTTGAGATAACAACAGTTTTGGACCAGATTGTGTTAAGGGAGATTTGTTATACACATTCATTGTATTTGACCCACTGGTTACAACGTGGGCCTTTTCGTTCTTGCGTTTCTGGTATTTTACTCCTATCAATAATATCGGGTTTGCAATCCATAGTCTCTATAAGATATTTTGTAGGATTCACATATAAGATGGCAGAGTCACTGATCATAACACCAATCTGGTGTGTGTATTCAGTGTTACCGGTACCTCTATACCTCGAGAGCCACGTACTGGGAATGATTAACAATCACACCTTTGGATTTAATTATTCAGAAGCACAACCAAATGAGGACGAATTTTGCTCCTTCTTTGGTCCCTTCCTCTTTCCTTCCTTCTCCTTCAATCTGGCCACAGTGTTTGAGAACTTTAATTTTGTTAAATCTGAGTATTCTTTGAACCCATTTGAAACTAAACTGGTTTTACTGCTGGGAGTCAGCATGTTATTGCACATGGTACAGATCATGTTTATGGTCAGAACACTAATTAGCACAATCTCCTCGACAAAAAAAAAAAAAAAAAAAAAAAAAAAAGAGCACATGAAAGTCAACCACTGTAAAAACTCCAGAAAGAAAAACTGTCAGGGTGCCCTGGGAGGAAGATGATGATGAAGAAGCAGGGCCATCGCAGGAGCGACTAGAAGAGGAGACAGAA